CTGAGAGCAGCGACTTTCTCTCCCCACACTTTTGGCAGCGGTGCAATCGTCTGTGTCCTCCATTCCCAAATCGTTCAGAGAGAAACATCGTTTGTGGAGAGGTTTTGTGAGAGGTCCTCACATGGGGGAGCACCACCAGATGAGAAAGGACCATCTGGGATTCCCTCTGCCACCCGTTCCTGCCTCCAGAGACCAAAGAACAGGGTTTTGCACTGATCTTTTATTTTTCAAGGAAATCCTGCAATTCCAACAATGTCGCACAAGGATAAAGTGAAACCTGTGCCATCGCAGTGGTACTCAGTGCTACAATGGAGAGAGGAAAACTTGACCTCCATTGTAACTGTCGGTACCACACTTTTACTTGGAAAAAAACCCTCTTTTTTCCCCCAAAAAAGAAGTCACTGGGTGCCTGTAAATCAGATTCCAAAATCTTCCCTCCCAGCCTGTAAGACAGACCGGCCTAACAGGAGGATATTGCCGGAAAATGGTTTTTGCCGTCGGTAGATCCACGCACACGTAGCATCAGTGGTGCGAGGGCGGCCTCAGGAGCCCTCCTGAAGCACGGGGTCCGTCTAGATGAGCGGGTAAGAGGCGTAACTGGCGATCCCGCAATGGTTCGCGTGGTTTCTTGCCATGCGGATGTAGCCCCCGTCCCCAAAACGCACGCCCCAGCTTTCGGGACAAGGAACAAACAAAGAGACAGGAGAAAAATGAAACTCTTTGTTTCGGTGAGTGAAGCGGCAGTTTTATCAACGTCACGGCGTTGAGGTGTTTTCATGATGGGATTTCTAATCCTCTATGAAGTTGTGACAACACTCATCAATATAAAAGGAGCTTAAAGTAGGTGTTTTGAATGCATTTAAAGTTCCTTTGCGCTGCTAGGGTGCCATAAAGGCGCTTTGGCGCGGCTCTAGATTTAAGGACCGGTACCAACTGCCAACTCTACAACAACCCCCATTGCACAAGCGCCCAACTGATCTCCCTCCCATCAGCTGTAAAACTGTGAGGATGTGAGTTTGAGCAGTGGGAAGTTGCCGAGTGAAGCCATCCCCTACAGGCTGTGAGTGTACAGATGAAGAGTTCAGCGACGCACGGCCATGCCGTTACCTGTTTTTCACAAGCCAGTAATCCTTGTCATCTAAGGTGCCGTAGCCGATCACGAGCACTCCGTGGTTCACCTCCTGCTTGCACCGGGGATCATCGTACACACCTGGAAAGAAAGGGGTTTGGATGCGTGTCGTCAGACCCCAAGACCTCATCTTTGAGTCGTCAGTGGGGCTGAACTCAACCTTCAGCATTGTCACTATGCTGCTGTCTTAGGTTTTGTCATCTTGATGCCTTCACCCAGGAATTAAGCCCCAACTTCCCCAACTGCCACCAAATTTCATCAGCTTTACGTGCAGAATCACAGAATCACAGATGTGAGGAGTTGGAAGGTCCCTCTGGAGCTCCCCCAGTGCAACCCCCCCAGAGCAGGGTCACCAGAGCAGTCACCCAGGAACACGGCCAGGGCTTTGGGTGTCTCCAGACAAGGAGACTCCACAGCCTCTCCACAGCCTGGGCCATGCTCTGCACCCTCACATCAACAACTTTGGCCTCATGTTCGCATCACCCTCCTGTGCTCCAGCTGCACCCATTGCCCTTGTCCTGGCACTGACAGCACTGAGCACAGTCTGGCTCCGTCCTCCTGACACTGCCCTTTCCAAATGGAGACCAGCAATGAGGGCACCCCTGGGCTCCTCTGCTCCAAGCTCAAGAGCCCCAGCTCCCTCAGCCGCTCCTCAGCAGGAGATGCTCCACTCCATGGAGAAGATCTCCATGGTGAAAGGACGTACCTGACCTGTACAAGAAGAAGGTGGGCTGGGTGGCATCAATGCCGACAGAGACTGGTCCGATGTTGGCCACGGCGTCTTTCAGGGCCGCTTCGTCAGCGTACGGGAGCTCAACGTACTTGGAGCAAGTGGCGGCTCGCGTGGAAGCATTGTATTGGCACGTCCCGTTCTGGTAAGAACAACGAGGGGTTGAGGAGCATGAGGAATCCACCAGAAACATCTGCAGACTTTCAGGCACGTGTTTTCTATCAGCCCTCTTTTACTTTGTGCTGCCCCCTTCTTCGCTTTTCTTTGACCACCAGTTTTCTTTACAGAAAGGATGGCCAGGAGGACCCGAGGAGGACATCTCGTCCATCCCACTGCCCCACGCCAAGAGCAGCCAAGCCACCAACAGAATTCTCTGCCCTATTTCTAGAAACCTCTGATGTCAATACTTCTACCACGTCCCTAGAGAAGCTGTCGATGATTCCTCATCCTCCCCATCAGAAGGCTCCTCCTTATGTTTAACCTAAATTTCTTCTGTTGTAAATAAAGCCCATGGCTTCTCCTTCTGCACTCTTAGTCTCTGTAGCTGCCTTATGCGTGTTTGAAGACTTGTAATCCACTTTTCTCTCTTGTGCTGAGCTGCTGCTACTCTGACCTGTTTCCACAGACCATGTTTTCAAGACACCAGGGCATTTCTTTTGTCTCTGACCATCAAGACTCAGCATTAAGCTCTTTATTTTCTTGATGGTTCTTTCCTTATGACCTTGTGACTCATACAGCATCTGTTACAGGCAACGTTAAAAAAAAATATTGTACGAACATCGTTCACTGGAAAACTCTGCCCACTGAAGTGGTAGAAATATCAATATCCCATTTGTAAACTGCAGAAGACGGAATAATACAGATTGCTGAGAACAGGACCCAGGACTCCTGCCCCATTTTTGCCCTTCTGTGTAGTACACTGCCTCATAATTTATGTAGGACAGCGATAAACACAGAGAAATTGTGCCTCACAGTCCGGTCATTCACCTATGAGAGAAACAAAGTCTAAAGGTCCCTTCCCTGGGTCTGAAGGCATTGGCTGCAATGGCTGAGGAGGTGGCACGTGAGTGATAGAAACCAAGAGGGAGGGAGGTCAGTGGGAGAGGAGGAGAAGGGCGTCTGCAGGGCAGAGCAGCACGAACGGCCGTGTTGCTTTCACGCTCGTGTGTTTTCCTGCAGATTTCAGGCGTTGTCCAGGTCTGACGCCCACCTGAGCCGTGTAGGGGTAGGACTCGTCCGAGTCAATCCCTTCGTTGTCGATGATGTACTGGAAAGCGCTGGTCATTAATCCTCCCCCACAGCCTTTGTTCCCGTACATCGTGGAGCAGTCCACGAGGTTCTGGGCGCTGAGGGACACCAGCGTCCCCGTCTTCAGCTTCACCTGGGCCTCGAGGGCTCCCACAGCGCTGAACGCCCAGCACGACCCACAGGCGCCCTGCAAAAGCCCCAGAGATGCTCAGACCAAGTGCGGGGCCAAGACACCAAGAGGCACAGAGAGAGAGCTTCAAACCTGGTTCTTCACATCTGTGACGCATCCCTTCTCCCTCCAGTCCACCGTGTCCGGGGCTGTGCCGTGGGACTGCGGTCGGTACGTGGAGATCCGCTTTGGTTGAGGAGGAACGTTCAGCCCGGTTAACAGAGCCGCCACCTCCTCGCTGGTCTGGTGGGGAAAGAAAACACCAGCTCGTGGTCTCCTCGTCTCTGCTAAGTCCTACACAGCCTATGTTGGAGGTGGAGGAGGATTTCCCTTGAACAGTCTGAGCTGCAAGAGTTAGCAGGTCTGGGGAGTCCTTGGCTTTTTATTTTTTGCATTTAATTCCTTGCCTTTCATTGGGAAGGGTAAGAAAAAGAAAAGACAAAGCTTAACTCCAGCACCAAAGATCCCTGGAAGCTGGGATGTTTCATCAACCAACACCACAGCCTTAGGACATTGAAGAGCGATGATTTGCAAATACATATAATGAGCCAGATCTGTGCACACCAAGTCATTGAGTTATTTCCCCACACCAGGTTGCCTCATGCAGGTAGGTTGACACAGGAATGTCTGAGCAGTGGAGTCCACAAGAAGAGGATGGGACAAAAAGGGTTGGTGGTTGTTTTTCCACGCCTGACCCACTTATATCCCTTATTAAATCAACCTCGCAGGTAATTAGAGACAAAGTCAACCCCCTTCTCAGCAGCACGGCCAGCACCTACCATGTCCCCCAGGTGGTTCATGCCCAGCTCGTAGGAGTGCAGCCCCAGGGAGTGCTCCAGGTTGTGCAGTGTCACCAGGCGCAGGTTCCTCTCCCAAGTCGCACGCCGGTCCCCTTCCTCTTTCTGAAACCAAAAGCAGCCCCGTGATGCACAGCAAGGGCCCCCACAGCTGATTCACTCCATTTTATCTCACAAAAGGTTGTCCAGAGCCTCTGCCGAACCATCCCCAGGCACCAGCAGTGTTTCAAAGCGCTGTTGGCTCTTCTCCCCACTGCGTGATGCAGTGGATGGTGACACTGGAGCAGCACCCACCACCTCAGCACCCCAAGCCACCTCCACATCCCCAAAATCACCCCTACCTCATGGCGATACTCCTTGCCGTGGGTTTTCTTCCAGAGCTGCCAGTGCCAGTCCAGCGCGGGGTCGGGGTGTCCCAGTGCCACCGTCAGCGTGGCCAGGAAGGAGATGCAGGGCAGCAGCAGCTTCATCCCACTCGGTTGGGACCGGGGAGCCGGAGCGACACCGCACGCACACTGGGAGCTGAGGGCTCAGAGCCGGAGCTGTGCTTGACCCCTTGGTGACAAATCCGGTTTGGTAGCAGAAGCAGAAGGGTGATGACATCCCTGACCTGGGCTCCCTGGCATGATGCCCTTCAGGGGGTTTCTACACCGGGTGATGCCAACAGCTCCCGTCCTGCCCAGACACCCCGGCCCCCTCTCCTGCTGCGTGCCCCAACCCCTGCGAGATGGGACGAGAAATCCCACCAGGACTCAGAAACTTCCCTCGGAGGGAGAAGTCCACTGGACCCAACCTGTGCGGACACCGACACGCAGGGACACATCCACAGCCGCCTCGTCCCGCAGATCCACCCTGCCCCAGAAACCCTCCCTGGAGGAGATTTACACATCGCCTGCTCAGGCGGCTGCTTTGACAGACCTGTGTTTTCCAGCACCTTAACAAACAAACCAAATAATCCATTTTTTACCCAACCAATGCCCGCCAGCTCCTGAGGATGGGCTATTACCTACAGTTCAACTGCCCAGCGAGGGTTTGGAGGAGCTCAGAGATAAGACGGAGTCAGAGTCAACATAAAAACACTGCTCCTTCAGCTTTACTTCCTCAAAACTCAGTCCTCCCAGAGTGGTGTTAAAAATACAGAAGCACCCAACGTACCTAAAAACGCTGCTTCTGGCGGTGGGTGCCGATCTTCAGCTCCGCGGCAGCGGGCAGGGTGGACACCGGGGACAAATGCAGCGCGTCCCCAGCACCGGGACACCCAGGGCCTCTGGCACTCGACTGCTGCAGCTCGGGCAAATCACGAGTCAGGAAATGAGGAAATGCTCTGATTTCGTTTTCACGTAGCTGGGAACGCGACGAGCCGGGCCTGTCACGGGGTTATTTGAAGCAGGACCCCCAATGCCATCAGAAAATGATTGTGGATGAGAGGTTCTTATTTCCAGCACCTCCCAAATGAGTGGCAAGGCTCTCACAGTGGTTTGTGTGGTTTGTGGGGCCGATGGAGGGGGGGGGGGAGCGAAGGCCACACTCCTCTCATAGGATTTTTGAGTTTTTTGACTTGCTGCTGAGTTGAGAGACCGGATGTGGTCAAGCACAGAGCCTTGCTACTGGTTTGAACTGGGGAGAGCCCAGCTCCAATCTCACCGCAGCGGTGTGCCAACCGCACGGGCGGCAGGAGAGACACTGAACACACGTTTCATTGCAGGTGGGCTGAAAACAGCCAGAAAAGTCTTCATCTGCCTGGAAGTCATGCTCCAGCCTCCGGCACGAAGGACATCCAGGCAGGAGGGTGCATTTCTCACCACTACAAAGCACCACGGACATGAAATAGCTGCGAGAAACCATCTTCTAAGAGAGGAGGAGGAAGCAAAACAGAGTCTCAAGAGCTTCGAGGGCACAGCTGAGTCATTTTCTAAAAAGCTGCGGGGATTGCGAGAGTCGGCAATGACAACACCTAAATAATTGCAATAATTCCCAACAGATTATCCCTTATGACTGGGTGAGCTCCTGGGGAGGGCGAATGAGGCGGCTGTGCTGGAGGAGATTGCTTGAAGAAACCGACTGCGATCATTCCTCATTTCGGCTGTTTCCCTGGAGAAACGCGATGGGATTCCTCGAGACGGGAGGGCTGGGGCAAAGCACTCCAGAAATTGGGATGAGCACCTTGAGAGCCTGTCCTGGAGCAGGGAACCCCTCTAGATTTGGGGGTACGCGCTGTAGCAGGCGACCCCACAGTGGTTTCCTGGTTCCTCGCTGTCCAGATGTGACCCCGGTCCCCAAAACGCACACCCCAGCGTTCGGAAGAAGGGAGAAGCAAAAACTGGGCAAGGGGAGGTAACGACCTCCTTCCTCACCCTCAATTTTTCCTCTCCCCAACCCTTTAAAAAATGATTTAAACTCGTTCTTCCTCCCCAGCAGCCACGGGAATAGCCAAATCCGCATCTTTTGGCCAAAAAGGCTGGACCTCCTGACTGCTCCCCTGCCAGATTTTGCTAACTCTTCTAAGGGGGAGGCAGAGGAAAAACCACTTATTTCACATGTGCTGGAGTGACTCAAAACCACGAGGGAAATACCAGATAAAGGAGAATGAATTAGTTTTGCATATCGAAAATACATTTATTTGAGAAAGAAATCCTACCAAGGCCAGAAATGGAAGACAGAGAAGGAAACCGGTGGGTTTTTAGCTCTGACATGAGGATAGAGGAGCTTTGTTGGCAGAACTGCCCACAATTGGGTTTGTTTGTTGTTAGTATTAAAGAAGGTAATGGTTTTCAGTTGCTTAATGTAGTTTTGCTGACACTGCTGGGTTGTTTTTTTTTCCAGAGTTGTTTGTCCAAGCAAGACTCTCTCATTTCAACACTTCGTTTCTTCTTGTTCTGCATTTTGCAGAGTTCACAAATAATACAAACCAAGCTCACAAACACACTTTAAAGCGAGGGGCAGCCCGGCTGTGCCGATCCTCAAGGCTGTGCCCCCAAATTGGCCGAAGGAGGGGATTCGCCAGCGCGTCCCCAAACCAGGCCGGTGTCAGCACCAGCCCTTTGTGCTGACTCAGCACCCAGGAACATTTCACACAATCACAGAATGGCTCGGTTGGAAAAGCCCTCTGAGATCATCATGTCCAACCGCTCCTGTCTACCCCTAAACCATATCCCTAAGTACCTCGTCTACCCGCTCCTTAAACACATCCAGGGATGGGGACTCCACCACCTCCCTGGGCAGCCTGGTCCAGCTTCTGACGACCCTCTCAGTAAAGAACTTCCTCCTTATCTCTGACCTGAACCTCCCTTGGCACAGCTTGGTGCCGTTTCCCCTTGTTCTATCCCCCATCACCTGGGAGAAGAGCCCAGCACCCACCTCTCCACAACCTCCCTTGAGGCAGTTGGAGGTGGTGATGAGGTCTCCCCTCAGCCTTCTCTTCTCCAGGCTAAACAAGCCCAGCTCCCTCAGCCGCTCCTCATCAGGCTTGTTCTCCAGAGCCCTCCCCATCCTTGTGGCTTTTCTCTGAACACGCTCCAGAAGAACATTGGAACCCCTGGAGTTTCCTGTGGAGCAGAAACCCCATTTTTTGCCGTACCTGTTTCTGAGGAGCCACTTGTCCTCCCCATCCGAAGAGCCGATGACGAGGACGGCCGTGATTCACTGCCTGGGAGCAGCATGGGTCGTGGTAGACACCTGCAAGGCATTTGGAAACAACCCGCAGGCAAGTTGACCAAATCGGAATTAAATTCGCTCTTTGGGAGGTGACACCAAATGCCTGTCCCCAGGGATGAGGGCAACACAGGCTAAATACAAATCAAAGCTGAAATAATTTAAGGAAGTTGGGTCTTGAGAAGGAGAGCGTGGCCCTTTCTTGTGATCCCCATGAAGACCCCCCAGCCTTGTAGAAGGAGGCGGGCTGAGCAGCATCGATGCTGACCGAGATGGGCCCTGTGCTGGTGGCAGTGTCCTTTATGAGGACGGATTTTGAGCTGAGCCTACCGAGCGTTGCCCAGGTCTGACCCCCACCTGAGCCGTGCATGGGGAGGATGCATCCGAGTCAATCCCTTGGTTGTGGATGATGGACTGGAAAGCTCTGTTTTTCCATCCACCACCGCAGCCTTCGATCCCGTAGCTCCTGGAGCAGTCCACGAGGTTCTGGGCACTGAGGGACACCAGCGTCCCCGTCTTCAGCTTCACCTGGGCCTCCCACGGCACTGAACGCCCGGCACGACCCACAGGCGCCCTGCAAAAGCCCCAGAGATGCTCAGATGTGGACCCAGACGTAGGGAGGCACAAGTGGAGCTTCAAACCTGGTTATTCACACCCGTGACGCATCCCTTCTCCCTCCAGTCCACCACATCCAGGGCTTTGCCTTGAGGCTGTGGTCGGTACTTGGAGATCCACTTTGGTTGAGGACGAACGTTCAGCCCAGTTAACAGAGCTGCCACCTCCTCGCTGCTCTGGTGGGACGGAGCACAGAGATGTGCTGAGCTGTGCAGGACAGGAGAGCGGCTCCATCCACGCATCCCACCTCACCGAAAGGACCAGGTTTGATCGCGCCCTGAGCCACCTCCACATCCCAAAAAAACCACTTGTACCTCATGGCAACGCTCCTTGCCGTGGGTTTTCTTCCAGAGCTGCCAGTGCCAGCCCAGTGTGGGGTCGGGGTGTCCCAGTACCAGGAAGGCGATGGTGACAGCAGCAGCTTCATCCCACTTGGCTGGGACCAGGGAGGCAGCACCAGAGCCCACCCTGGGGGTTTTCCTTCCCCACCCATTCCCAAACCCACCCCTACCCACTTTAGTGCCTTTTTGCCTCTGCCAGGAGCCCTCCCCGGTCACATAGTGATGCTCTGCACCCCCGGGGCCACCGTGACACAGGGCCAGACCCTCCCACACGTTTGCAGTGCCACCCCAAAAAGAGGAAATTAAGAAACTCCACACCCCCCTAGATTTTCTCTGCTGACTTCAATCTCCATTGCTGCGGCAGCTCCTGAGGAAAAGGAGCAGTCGAGGATGGGGAGATGAACTATGTCCCCTGGGCAGGTGCAAAGGGACCTTTTCTCTGTGTTCTCCAGCCAAAAATCACCCCATGGAGATCTCTCACCTGCCCACGGTGCAGGTCCCAGATGGGTGCGAGGGACCTGGGGCAGCACGGGGGTGTGAGGGGGTACAAGGGGGTCCCTCTGCTCGGTGCCACGGGCAAACAAGGAAATGCTTTGATTTCAAATGCTCCGGTTTCAAATGCTCCAGTTGACACTTTCTATTCACCACATCCTGGTTTCAAATAACCCTGATGGCACATCCTGACAGGACCCGATGAATTCACCATCCTCATCCTCCCCACCACCCGGCCAGGCCCTTCCCCACCCCTGTCTTGGGGAGCTGGAAAAAGAAACTTATTTTTAAGCGTCCAAACTCTTTTTTGCATGAATTTGGATAGCGAGTATCACCTTCCCTTCTTGTTAGGGCTCGCCCCGAGCTTTGCTGCGCTCATTTCTCAATTTGCTGCATTAAAAGCAGCGCTGGGGTTTGGATTTTTGGGGTGACACAGGGTTTTGGCTGTGAACCGCCACCCAGCCCGGCCACAAACACTTGCCCCAAAGCCACAGCCCGCACAAGCTGCTTTACTTCTTGCTCTGCTTTTTAATTCCTAAATCCCTCCATATTCCTTCAACTTCTTTTAGGGGTCTTGCAAAACCAGCCAGGATTTTGCAAAAGGACCCCAGCAGCATCTTTTATCCCCATTTTGCTCCCAAATCGGCCGTGTTTTACCATTGGCTCCTCCTCCCTTGGGAAAGGGAAGGATTTTCCCACCACGGGGCCAGAACTGCACAAACCAACCCCAGCGTTTAGTCCCAATGTTGTTTATTTTAAAAATAAAGTCGTATCGTTCTCCGCAGCCCCCGTGGGGTGCAGGGTGAGGGGGAGAGATCCGTGCTCCCCATGGGGAGGGTCTTCCCCATGCGTCCACGTTCCCGGAGGCAGAGACCGGCGTGGGATCCGTTTACACAGGGATGTCTGGATGGATCCAACTCCCTGGCACCAGCCAACCCCAGGAAGGCAAAATTTGGGACAGCAAAAG